TCAGTTCTCTTTAATTTCTTGCTCATAGACAGAAGTGGCATTGCTAAGTGTCACATGTTCTAAGTGTGCGCAGCATCAACAAAAACGACCACGCTACAGGCCTGTTTGTATGTCATACAACTAGCTTCTGGCATTACGGCCAGATGAATAGAGAACTTACACATGCTGAACAGAGTAAATAAGACCAGTCACCAGCCCATGTAATCGCTGCAGCTCTAGCTTGTGGCTTAGCCACTGAAGCGTGCAGACTGTTAAAACAAACACTCTAATGAGTATAGAGCTCCTCTGTCCTCTCGGCTTGCTCCCTGGCTTTCCTATTCAAACACGAGCAGAGCGCTGAATAAGCTACGCGCACATGAAACATGCACTTCATGCACTTCCATTCTGGTGCATGCTTTTGTCTGAAAGAAAATGGGAAAATGACTGCTGGAACAACAACATGTGACAGCTCAATCAAAGACTGCACACATACAAAATAGATTAGACAATAATTTTGGATTCACAGATAAAAGTGATGCTGAAATAAATTTTTTTCTATTCCACCTTAAAGAGATAGTCATGAAAATTCTCTCATAATTGATTTACAATCATGCTGTTCCAAACCTGTATGATGTTCTTTCTTCTGTGGGACATAAAAAGAGACATTTTAAGAATGTTTTAACTGTTTTTGTTCATGCAATAAAAGTCAGTAGGATCCAAAACGACTTTAGACCCCTTTAATGGTTATTTTATGGACAAAAAACACTGAGGCATTTTTCAAAATATATTTTGTGTAGAATGAAGTAAGTAATACAGGTTTGAAATAACCTGAAGGTGAGTAAATGTTGATAGAATCCTTACATTTCCCATCCTTGGCTTGCGCAACACAGCAATACTGGACTGACCAATGGAGTTTGGATTAGGATTATGCTTGTCTGAACAATGGAAGATGGGGGATTGTATGGGAAACATATTTGACAACAGTAATTGTTTAGTAACTTTTGGTCGTTTATGGTTGTTAGTGCCACAAAAATGCACATTTCACCTTTAAAGTCACCATGAAATTGACAATGCTTTTTTTTATTTTAAAGTGCACGTGCCCTTGCAATCTTCTAATCAAAAACTTATTTTCTTAAAAAAAATAAGCTCTCTGATGATAGACAATAATCCTCCCTTCCAGTAACCTGAGATTGCAGCAATTAGCAAACGACAATGACCCAACAATCCAATCAATTCCTGATTGACACAATCAAGTCCAGCCCTAGACTCTTTTCTCATTCAAGAAGACGTTTTATTTGGATATATGTCACAATAGAAAAGAAAATATGATTTGCAATTTCCGTTTCATGCCAACTTTAACACAATATTTCCAAGTTATTCTTCATTCTAACATCCTTAGCTCTATCATGACAACTCTCTGAAGATTTTAGCATGGTAATGAATATGACAATGTTTATGTATTTGGTCTTGGCAGAATATATCTGCTATGCTGCTGAATTGCTGTTGCTTTTGGTTATTGCTGTTGTTATAGATTATTGTTGCTGCTGCACTGCAAGTACATGAACTTGCTACTGCCAATACATATGCTGATACAGTGATGTGAGTATTTAAGACATACTGCTGCTGCACAAGCAGTATATATAATAACCCCTAGCAGATCTATACAGGTGGAGCTGGGCAAGGTGGAGGGTTTCAGAGGAACTCTTCAAAGCATGCTGCAAAATGCTCTAGTGAATGCTAACAAGCCATTTAAATGTAAAGCAGTAAGCTCATTGGCTGTGTATGCAACATGAACCAATCAGCTTGTGCCAAGTACTTTAACGCTGTTAATATCATCAGTTTGTGTTTGCGCCATTTAGAGTTTCATGACTTGGCTTTTATTTTGATTAGCATCCTTATTTGGACATCCAGAACATACCTGTCAACCAATCAGAGTTTAGGGATAAGCTTAGTGGGTTGAACAGCATTTTTATCAATATATCAAAGATTAGGTTATATTGCTTCAGGACCAACATAACACGTTCTACTGCAGTAAATCATGTTGTGTGGGGCAACTAACCACCAGTCAGTTTGAGATTACAGGTGACTAATTCTGACAGCTCTCACCCTACAGTAAACCGAACCTCTAATAGACTGTTTTGACAGGTGTAAGAGAAACAGGGGACTCAAAGAGCTGCTAACGGTCACATAAATATGATTTGGGCAGCAAGGAGCGGTGAGCTCTAACAGGGTGTGAATGTGCGACCCATGGTTGACCCCCTCTTTAGGAAATAGTGCTCAGCAGTGTTGTGGATTCAGCACACACATGCTTGAATGGTCCTGAGAGGCGGCTTGAACTGTCTGCAATGAGAGAGGTCAGGAAATGTCTCTGTCACGTTCAGTGACCACTTCATCTCCAGCCTCCCACTCAGAGCACAGATCAGAAAATCACTACTGCACTTCTCAGCATTAGACTATATTAATGCTTCCACAAGCCAGAATGGGCAAATGTTTGACATTTTTCAACCAAACAATCACATAAATTTTATTTCCACAAAATGGGCAAATAAATCCTCACATCTTACATTAATAACATAATTCTGGAACCAAACGAGTTCTGTTGAATCACCGAAAAGCATATGGCTTATAATGGTGGATATAAGTCTTTATAAGTCTGTAATATTTTGATGAATGCGGAGGATCGTAAACCTTTGGTAAATTATGCTACACATTATATTAGTTATAAAACATATGTGCATCATTTACAATGGTAACCACAGATACTGACAACATTATCTATCTATCTATCTATCAACCATTATATCTATCTATCTATCTATCTATCTATCTATCTATCTATCTATCTATCTGTCTGTCTGTCTGTCTGTCTGTCTGTCTGTCTGTCTGTCTGTCTACACTAAGTTGGGTTGATTAAATTTTTTTTATAAGTCGATTATGCTTACAAAAATACAATAAAAACAGTAACAATGCGAATTATTACAATTTAAAATAATTCTTTAAAATATTTTTTAAATATATTTTAAAGGGGTGGTTCATTGCGATTTCACTTTTTTAACGTTAGTGTGTAATGTTGCTGTTTGAGCATAAACAATATCTGCAAAGTTATGAAGCTGAAAGAGAAAACTAGAGGTGCACGTAAAAATCTATTCATATGTTAATCGCGATTCTGTCTTCTAACGATTCTAATGGATTCACAAGTTTCAAAATCAATGTTCTAAAGCAGTGGTTCTTAATACTGTTCCTCGCTTCCCCCTGCTCTTCACATGCTCTGCATCTCTCTCTCTCTCTCTCATTCAGCTCAGCTCCAACAATGAACTGTTCCAATTATACACTTATTTTCACAAAGCTATGAGAAGCGTTAAACATGGACACACGTGCAGTTGCCATACTGTATTAAAGCTTTAATCAGGATAAGACCGTATATTAAAAGTTAACATAAGCAGTAGCATTTACAAATAACAGCATATCTAAAAGTATGAGACAACAGCAAACAAAAAACATAGGCCTACCATTATAAGCCGTGCTTGCACAGGTTCTGCACGATCCTCTTCAATAATATCCTCTGCTTCTCAATCGGGCTCAAACTGATAAGCGATATTAACGACACCGTCGTTTACAATACAACCGGAGCACATGCCGCTGAGGTGAGGGGCGGGACATTTAGACGTGCACTAGAGACAGTTGAGCCAATCACAACACACTGGGCTAGCTAACCAATCAGAGCCCATCGCCTATTTCTGAGGGAGGGGCTTCATAAAAGAAGGAAATGATCAGCACGTTTCTCAGAGAAGGGACAGAGCTGTGTGGAATAAAGGTAAATTATGTGAAAAATAATGCGTTTTTAAAAAAACGAATCATTAACACATGTTAAACTGCACCCCATAAACACAATGAAGCCTAGAAAAAAAACAGTGCACCACCCCTTTAAAATTGTATTTATTCCTGCAATGGAACAGCTGAATTTTCTAGTTTTCAGTGTCTCATGACCCTTCAGAAATAATACTAATATGCTAATTTGGTGCATGAAAAATAATAATCAATGATGAAAACATTTGTGCTGATCAATATTTTTGAGATACTTTTTTCAGGGTTAGAAAGCTCAAAAGAAATGAAAAGAATACATTTGAAAAAGATTTAGAATTTACTGTCACTTTTCATTAGTTGAATGCATCCTTGCTAAAAGTATGAATTTTCTTTCTGAAATATTTATATATTTCAGAAAATGTTTATATATTTATATAAAAGTTTATATTGTGTCTTGTCTAGTTTAATTCCTTTAATTGTTAATGCTATGCCAATTCTGTCTAATGACACATTTGACAGATTTTTTTTATTGTAGTAACAATAATTAAAGCAACTATTTTGACAGAAATCGTGGCTACCATGGTAAAAGTGTAGTTTCACTTAATACACTTTAAAATGACACCCCAAACTAACCTCCATATTAAAATATTGTTTGTTGCCAATAAAATTATTCCATTACAATCATGGCTGTTGCTTGCATTGAAAGGAAGACAACGGTGTTAAATAAAGTATAAAAAAGGATAATAAGCATGCTTTAACATAAAATGATAACAAAACAACGAATAACAACACAACAGGAGAGACACACATGCACAAAAACACACACGCAAACACAATGTGATGCTTTGCAGGAATGAGCAAATTCTGGTCACCTATGAAGTATCCCTCCTCCTAGAAAAACCAACACAGATCTGAACATCTGCTCTTTCATGTAACTATGACTAATGTCTATCACTCTATTAATCTGATCAATCAAAAATGACTTCGGACTTGACCACAAATTAACGTTTCTGTGGATGAATGAAAGGCTACTGCTCTTCTTGTAAACAGAATGCGGAAATGTTGAAAGGAAATCCATTAAAAACATTTTCTGACATATTCTGTAAAGCAAAGCTTGTCTCAACACAGTCATGCTGCCCTAGCATATGATGTTGAGTAGAGAGGAGAACAGTGATTTTGTAGATGAGGAGTAGAAATGTAAATAAATGTTGGATTACTTTGTCATTCTTTGCTCGGCTTGATTTTGATTCCAGACAAGGAATTCAGGGTCGTACCTATCAGGAGACAGGCAGAGAGAGAGACAGGGTAGGTGTCTAGCACAAAGGGATTTGACATTTAAAAAAATAATGTATTTATGTTTAGCTGTCTTCTTGTGCTGCATGAACATATTACACACTTGCATTTGACTCTCAACATGCACTACAATGTTAATTTGTTGCTGGTTTTTATTAAAGAGGGGTCTCACATAATGAAAAAGATGTCCCATCCATATCACTCCAGTGTGAACTAGACATAAACTGTAATAGTTGATTTGCGGGTGAGATAAATTTTCACATTTCCAGTCAGTGCCACTACTGATTAATGATAAGAAGTCCTCTGCATTCTACTTTTAGAAAAAAAAACAGTACATTTCTCAAGACAATCATCTAGATCAGGAGGTTTCAAACTTGCACATATTTTACACACATATTTCTTGTATAATAGTACTAATATTTCTATACAAATATTTCAAACAGTATAAATGAGTCTTTACATGAAAATATACAGCCGCTTTATACTTTAAGAAGGAGATCATCATATTTACGGGTCCTTGGTGTCATTCAAAAAGTTTGAAAACCCCTAATCTATACATTCTTGTTTCTACATAGGGGGTACAAGGAGGTATAATTAATGTAGTGTTTTGTGTATATACAGTACAATATTTTGTTACAAATGACCTTTAAGTTGAAAAAAAAGGTGTTTTATGTATAATTTACAAGGATTTTGGTGATAAACTATGGCTGGTATTGTTGCCAGACCCACCCTTTAATATACCAAACACTATTAGTGAACCAAAGATAAAATACGACTTTCTTTGACATGTTCTGAAACAGAATGAAATTGTCTGTGCATATCTGTGCATTTGTTTGCAGCCAGTAAATGCAATGCATCACACATCATACCATCTCCACCATAGCCACTAGCAGTGAAAAGACATGGGAGAGAAACAAAAGCATGAGGAGTCAACAAAAGGGATGACAAGTAACCAAAAAAAAAACAAGGTCAAATCAGCAGAAAAAGCAAGCAAACAAAAAAAGATAAAGTGCTAAAGTACTTTAGCTCACAAGAGATGATCGTCAATGGCCTCTCAGCACATTCAATTAATGTCACATGATAAAACCAAAATATGCTTAATACTAGCATAACGACAGCGTAAACAAGGTGGAACTGACTACCTATATAATCCATAAAATCATGCGCTATCTTTCTTGAAGAATGTTTACAATTGTGACAAATGTGTAATATCGTTTTTGTGATTTTGTATGTATACACAGGCAAACTATAGTACTACAGGAAGTGACGTCGTGTGAAGTCTGATTCATGTTGTAGGAGAGAGTGAAGTAAGATGTGTCACCCCCTTAATCAAGAACACTGCACAATTTGTTTTTTTTTACAAGTGACCATATATTTAGAAAGAACCCATCATGCACAGCTGCTTGTGACTGAGAGATGCACATAAATATTGAGCATTTTCATTATCTACACTGATATACAATATATCTCATATTGGTGAATTCAAAACCATTCAAAACTCTGGGGTAAGATTTCTTTATTTTAATCAACAATGAAACAACAACAAACAAAAACCAGCAACGATGCATTAAATTGATCAAAAGAGGCTGTCTACACTGGATGCGGCGCGACAAGACAAATCCCCGAAAGTAAACTGCTGCCGCGTTCTATTTATGACGTACTAACTCAAAATTCAAATCATTTGCAACGGTCGCTTTGTCGCGTCCAGTGTTGACAGACTTTAGCTGTTGCGGAGCGACAAGGCACGACAATCCGGTGTAGACACGATGAAAGAATCCTGAAAAATATTGTACTCCTGTTTACGCAGCACTGTTTTCAACAGTGATAAGAAATGTTTCTGCTGAAAATCCTAAAAAATTATTTTTAAATTAAATAATATTTCACAACATATGAGCATAACAGACGTCTTTCAAAATCATTAAAAAGAATCTTACTTACCCCAAACTTTTGAATGGTACTGTATCTGTGGGGTAAAGTGCGTCTGATGCTTTGAGGTAAGTTGTGTCAGCTTACCAAATAATGAACTTTGCCTCCAAATGCAAGAAATATTATTCAGATTATAAAATTCAGAAAATTATTTAACTTCATTCAAATATGTAGTGACATCTGTCTAAGGTGGTTTACAAACAGCATTGGGCAAGTTACTCTGAAAATGTAATCAAATTACTGATGAATAATTACTCCTTTTAAATGTAATCACGTTACTGTTCTGATTACTTTATTTCAAAAGTAATTAGTAATTAGTTACATTACTAGTTACGTTACTTTTTTCTCCATGAAATTTATGAAATACCAGCATACACGCTCCCTATAAATATTTGTTATTAAAGCATCAACATTCACAGAACACTGTTATTTTTAACTAAAGCAAGTGGCTGCTGCGTGCATGGTTTGGATGGCAGAATGACAGCAAAGAGCACTGCATTTATAATCTCTAAAAGATATCTCAGCTCATCGCAATCTTACAAATCTCTGTTATAACACAATAAATATATGCATAATGAATCTTTCATAATGTCTACAATTCATATGTTATAATGAGAGGATTCGTCAGCACTGCATTGCTCAACGCTGCAAACACGTGTTATAGCCTAAATAGAAACTCTGCATAC